AAATTCGACCGCTTTAAGATAGTTCATTTATTAGCCATACTTTGTACAAAAACGCGTAATTCCATTAGTACGTTATATTTACCTAAATGGTTTTGTTTCTAGGCGAAACGCTTTGCAAGAACTCTCGATACTATGAGGTGGGTTTGACTCGACAACATGATCTGTGAGTGGGTCTTTCTTTTGATATATATATATATATATATATATATATATATATATATTGGTTAGTTTCCATATATACATTCATTCATTAATTTCCTACATGATTGCCATAATTAAATTAACGTTCGTAAGAAATGACTTATTGTTGGGAAATGATGAAATAATCCTACGGGATGCACAAGTAAGCTTACTATATGGGGGTGCCTTAATCTTATTTTTGGTCATGAGTAATATGTTATTGACTAGAATTGTTGAATGATTGTGGCATGATTATATTTATGTTATTTGCTCATCGCTTACTGCACCAGTGTTAGTACTCGTCAGGGCCAGGGCCAGTCTTTCACGTGTATGTACACATCGCACCATACGCTCACTTTGGATCCATTGTAGGTGTGAGTCATGTCGTACAGGTTGCAATAAGCAACTCCGACTCATATGTGCTGCTCATAGCTCCAGTCTTCACGTGATTGTAGTACTAGAGCGTATATAATTATTTCACCCAATCATGTTCATGTCATAATATCTCTGCATGAACTCGTGTATTAGCATATGTCGATGAACATTCAATGTGATATTTTTATTTATGTGAAAATATGTGATTACGGACGTCATGTACTCATTTACAAAAGTTGTGACGTATGGCATCCTTGAAATATTGCTGGTTTTGGTAAGCATTTTTATACTATACGTAGTATGTATATTTTGGGAAATTATACTTATTTTACGGCGAGAAGTTATAATGTTTTCAAAAAGGTTTTTATAAAAGTTAATTTCTTAGGCCCACCCAACCTTGTTTTTCCCCTCCAGGTTTTAGTAGCTGAGCTTTTGTATCGACGAAGATTCTTGACAAATCTTGGTATTGGAGATTACCTTCAATGGTATAATTCTCATCCTACTTTACCGTACTTTGCTTATGCACTGACATCATTTGTGAAATTGGTTCATTCCCGCTCACCAGCACACTCTTGTATTTAGGCACTTTTAGGTTTAAATTTATTCACATTTTCCACATCACTACATTTTATGACTTTGGTATCTTCCAAGTGTCGGCCAGCACAGCTCAATTCGGAATCTTAATAGACATTCCGGGTCGAGGTGTGTCATCAAACAACAATTGAAATCACAGAAAAATTACGCCCAATTTGAATGTGGAAAATATATTTTCACAAACTCGTTACATTCACATAGTTTTATTTCTCATAAAGTTCGCCCAAAACACATCAAAATCATGACTAGATATTAGATATAAGAAATACAAAATATATGTAAAATATCAAACTATTCCAAACAAAGTTTTAAAATCACAATAATTTAAAGGAAAAACTCACTGCCGCCACCCCTCGGCCCCAACAGAATGCCAACCCCAGATTATTGTCTCTCGTTCTGTATATCCTCCTTGTCTCCCCCTCCACAAATCTCATCCCACCTCCAACAGAGTACTCCCTCCACCAACCTCTAAATCTCTGAAATCCCCTTACCAATCCCCTCCAACCATTTATCATTCAACCAAGACTTGCTCCCATAACATTACAAAACCCCAATGTCAGATTCTCTGCTCCAAGTTTTATCAGGGGAGAGAGAAAGAGAGAGAAGGGGGTTGATCGGTATGGCGGTGGTCCTAAGTAGGGATGGGCAATGGTTATGGCGGGCGGGTAACCGCGGTTATTTACCCATAACCGTTTAAGCTTTTACCCGCATAACCGTTTACCCTTTAGGTATTTATATAAACGGGTATACCCATACCCATAACCGTTTATAAACGGTTAACCATACCCATTTACCCATAACCGCATATCCATTTAACCATAACCGCATACCCGTTTACTCATTTTTAACCCGTTTACCCCTTTTTTTTCACCCGTCTACCTATTTTTTAACAACTTAAGAAATTTGTCATAATTTTCTTTTTCTAACAATTAAATACTGTTATAAATACATTTAACATGAATTTTTGTATTAACGGCAATATGATTTATGAATATATGCGATGTCTCCCAATTATTTGACAGTCAATCTATTACAAGAATCATGCATGGTTGCAGGTTAATTAATATTCGTGTTTACATACACACAGACACACACATATATATATATATTAATTAATATTCGTGTTTACATACATACATATATATATATATATATATATGTATGTAAGTACGCATCAGTCTGCTAATAGGTTAATTTGATAAATATTTGGATTTTTATTTAGAAACATTTGTTCATCGATCCAAGCCATTTAATTGATTTCTAATTTTTGGGTCAAATATTTATTGAAAACTCGAGGCCAATTAAATATATATACACACACACATATATATATATATATATATATATATATATATATATGTACTCATCGGCCGACAATAACATGTTTCTAAAAGCTCAAGGTAATCATTATCTTGAGTTGGCCAAAGCTCCAAAAGACTCCAAAACAAAACTGTCGAACCCTCTAATGTTTTAGCACATTCAATCACATATATTAAACATTGGACCGTTCTATCAATTATATTTTTCTCTCAAGTGAGATATATATATTATGGCCCTTTATAACTAAATATGTCTCGGGATACTAAACTTAGCTAAAAGTTTTTTTTTTTTTTTTCAGTTTTACATATATTTAAATAAATGGTTAAATGGGTACCCGTTTATAACTGTGGGTAATACCCATAACCGTCCATTTAAATTTCACAGGTAAACAGTTATATCCGTAACCGTTTATTTATCTAAACGGTTACCCATAACCGTAACCATCAAATTTAAATGGGTGGATAACCACGGTTTTCATAACTAATGGGTATTTGCCCATCCCTAGTCCTAAGTTAATAGCCCACTTACCCAGATTCTATCCTCTGATCTCACTTTGTTTTCTTTTCTATTTTTACTTTCTATCTTATGTTTTTTTTAAATGAGTAAACGGTTGATATCTCTCTTGAATTTTCACTTAGCTTTCGATTTCTCTTAAACTTTTTAATTGGAAAATTAAGGACTTAAACAAATTATTTTGGCCAATTTCTCCATATCGTATAGTTTTCATACATTCCATTCAATTAACGTTAACTCTTATCATGCACACCAGTTTAATAGGAATTTGGATGAAATGAATGGAAAAACTAACAACAATGGAAATTGGCCAAAACAATTAGTTTAAGTCCTTAATTTTTCAATTGAAAAGTTTAGGAGAGAAATTGAAAGTTCAAGGCAGAATTCAAGAGGAAAAATATCAGTTTACTCTTTTAAAATATATTCTGAATTTGATTAATGAATATTTTAAACATAATTTAACGTGACTCAAATTGCAAACTTAGAGAAATACAGTGATTAAGGGCTAATTTAGTATTGTTGTGTTTTTTTTTTTAAACTGCTTCTACTGTACTGTGAGAATAAATAGCTATAAAATAAAGTTGTTGAGTGTTTGACAAACTTTTTTTTTTTTTGTAAAAGTACTTTTAATAAAAAAAGTAGTGTCTGAGTGTTTGGTAAATTTTTCTATAAATTGCTTTGAATATGTTAAATGACTAAAAATGATATTATATTTAATGTGATATAATAAGAGTGTTGTTAAGACCACCCCGGTGTCTTATTTCCCCACCTACTTTGAAATGATAATTTTATTGACAAATTTATCCTAATATAAAATGACCTTCAAAGACTTAAGATCAACCAATCATGTTTTGCCACATAATTATTAGATATCTCAACAAATAAAAGCTAAAATATCATCAATATGAAAAAGGAAATAAATATCATAAACCCCACCTCCACAAGCTTTCCTGGGGAAGGAAGTTTGAAAATTTATCAGGAGGAGGGGGAATTCGAACATGACATAGCAAAGCCTTGAGACTCACAATAAAGTGCACGTTGTGGAAGATGTGATGAAGCTTCACACAAGGAGGGGCGCAGGGTGTTGGGGTGTGGTGGTGCCTTGGCTAAGGATTTGGGGGTGTCGGGGTGTGGTGCCTTGGCTAAGGATTTGGGGGTGTCGGGGTAGTTATAGTTGTAGGATTACTTTGGGGAAGGGGTTGCTGTTGGCGGTGATATTTGGAGTTCTTGGGTAATGATGTTTTTTTTTTAATTATAATAATTTTTTCAAAGCAAGGAAAATTTGAAGAAAAAATATGTAGGGTTATTTTGGAAATAATAGTGGGTGGAAAAAGAGTTTACGTATTTTTTTAATTTTTTATGATAGGTGTAAATATAAGGTGGGTGAGGAAATAAGACATTGGGATGAATATAACACTACTTTATAATAATTATCAACAACAATAATGTAGGGGCAAAGGGTGTAATTTTGTAAAACATGTGGGGGTATACTTGTTATTTAAAAATTTCATTAAATGAGTATTGATTGCTATATTTTGAAAAAAAAAAAGACACCTTTTTTAGAGGCATGGTCTACTTTATTGACAGCAGTTTTCTTAAAAAAAACTTTTTTTTTTTTGTTTTATCAAACACATTTAATGTTTCAGATTTTTTAATAAGCTATTTTTTATTGAAAGCACCATGATCTCAAACCAACCCTAAATTAATGAATTGAAAACACAATGATCAAAATAAAATTTTAATTATAAACACAATGACCAAAAGATTTTTAACACAACTGAAAAATCTCAAAGAAAAAGGAAGAGAGTCACAGAAAGAGAGCACATAATAACAAGGAACCAATTCTCCCTCTCTCACTCCAGAGAGGAGGAGAGAGGTTTGCGGTTTTAGTCAGTCCCTTCTTTCTCCTACCACAACTAAAAATTTCTCCTCTCTCTCTCTCTCTTAAATTCCTTCTCTCTATCTTCCCCAGTTCTAGATTTTGTGAACAAATAAAGGACTCATAAAAGGCAACCAAAACTAAAAATGTATCAAGACACAGTAGCATGCAACTTTGACCCAAACTCCATCCCTGAATCTGCAGCAGAGAGCGTGCTCGACCTCAACCCTCTTCCCCCACAACCACTGCCACAACAACCACCACAAGTTCTCATGCCTTCTTCAGACACCACCCACCACCACAACACCACCACCACCGGCTTTGGTGTCGAAGCAAACACCAGACTCTCCATGGAAGAGCTTTCTTATCATCCTCACCATCACCAATATCATCATTCCTCCATGGAAATCGATCTCCAAAACGAACTTGGGTTCAATGTCGATGACTCATACACCACCAATACTGACCATAACAACAACATCAACAATTCCCATTTGGTGTCTTTTGAGCACCCAACAAATTGGGACACCACCAATATTCATGGCGTTCATGATCAGATGCAGCAACAATTCCCAGATGGTACTACTTCTGCTACTTGTACTCTATACCCACAACCACCTGACCTTCTCAACCTTTTCAGCTTACCCAGATGCTCCCCCTCCTCTCTTCTCCAAAGTTCATCCATCACCTTCACAAATCCCCTCCCAAAAACCTCGAATTTTCCGAGCTCTTTCGGGCTCCTTGGAGACCTCCCCACCGCGGTTGACACCCCACAGGGGACGGCTTCTTCCGTCCTCTATGACCCGCTTCTCCACTTGAACCTCCCTCCACAGCCGCCATTATTCAGGGAGTTGCTTCAGTCCCTGCCGCATGGGTACACCTTGCCTGGCTCAGGAAACGGGTCGTTGTTCAGTAGCGGCGGCGATGACAGAGAGGGAAGCGGAGGAGGAGTTCTGTATGACCCAGATAGGAGTCTTGGGAGGCAGTTTGATAGCGGAGTTTTGGAGTTCTCAAGAGATATGGCTTCTAATGGGATAGGAAGAGATCTCAAAAGGACCAAACACTTCGCTACCGAGCGCCAAAGGAGACAGCAATTGAATGGCAAGTTCGATATCTTGAAGGATTTGGTTCCAAACCCAACAAAGGTATACACATAAAATTCACAAATTTCACATCCACTGTATCATTGATCAACGATGTAACAATAAAAAATCCCAGTGCATAGGATACTCCAAACCATACTAGAAAATGCATATCAGTTGTTTTGCAGTTTTAATTGGATCCCAATATTTTCTTTGTTTTTTTTTTTTGTTTTCCGTAATGATCATACTTTTGCTCAACTTCTTTTTCTGGGGTCAATTAATTGGAGGAAAGAATGATAGAGCATCAATTGTGGGAGATGCAATTGAATACATAAACGAGCTTCTGAGGACAGTGGAAGAGCTTAAATTGCTGGTCGAGAAGAACAGGTGTGGGAGAGAAAGGATCAAGAGGTACAAGACTGAACATGATGGCGCTGCCGCCGCTGGAGATGACGAGAGCTGCAACATTCAGCCTCTTGGTGAGCCTCATGACCAGTCCTACAACAATGGCTCTCTGCGGAGCTCGTGGCTGCAAAGGAAATCCAAAGACACCGAGGTTGATATCCGCATTATCGACGATGAAGTTACCATTAAACTGGTGCAGAGGAAGAAGATCAACCTGTTGCTGTTTGTGTCCAGGCTTCTGGATGAGCTGCAGCTTGATCTTCATCATGTTGCCGGTGGCCAAATTGGCAATTCCTACAGCTTCTTCTTCAATACCAAGGTTTGTTTTTCTTTCTTTTATGAGATCAATTGAAACTTCGTTAACAAGGATCAAGAACGTACGTAGTACAAACATGTCAAACGTAATCTAATAAGTTACACACATTGAAAGAAACAACACAATTTCACGATTAGTTTCACTTGGTTTAATTTGGTTTTTAATTAATTAGGGTTTCAGTCTGAATTATGCAGATGTATGAAGGGTCTTGTTTGTATGCAAGTGCAATAGCTGGGAAGCTCATTGAGGTTCTGGACAGACAATATGCAGCGGCAGTTCTTCCACCTACCAACAGTTAGTAGGAAGGAGGCATGAAATGAACCTGCATGCTTGGTTTGGATTAATACCAATCAACTGTTTTAAAAGAGTAACTTTTTATTGTGCTGGTTTTACTTTTACTATTTGCTGAACGGTAAACTTGGTGTGACAAAATTCTTGGATTTAAGAGTAAATTTTCATGGTTAGTCACTTTACTCATGTTAAAAGGTAACTAAGTGTTACTGAAAAACTATCTATAGATGTAATAATAATGTCAATTTTTAATCTCTCTCCCTCTTTGGTCATGTCAGCATATTAAATGAGAATAAAAATAAACACAAAAAGTATATACTTTTTAAATTACATGACATTTCAAGTGATGAGATTGTGTACTTACTTTAAGAACACTCCCTACACTTATATGTCTCATCATATGTGGCTTGAATTGTTTTATGTTTCGAAGTTTTATGTGTGCAAATATTGAAGGATGCAATCCAACGCATTACCTGACTACACAATGACTAGTTGTGCTGGCGAATCCTTAAACGTCTACACAACGGCATAAATACAATGTTGAAAGGGTAATGTTAAGAAGATCAAATTTTTTAAAACTAAATTGTAAACCAAATGATATGTCGCCAATAAGAAACAAGCACGTTAATCGACACTTAATTAATAATTCAATCATCTACAACCACATCATTTAGTTTGTAAATTTGTTTTAAAAATTTTGGTCTCCCTAACATTACTCATGTCAAAATTTCCTACCGTGAGGGTACTAAATTTTGGCAACTCGGATATGCATGCACGTCATCCAACTCTATAAACTCAATGAAATTGGGCCCCCTTCTTGCCTGTGGAAAACTTGGGCTGGTGAACGTTCGTTAGGAGCGAATTTGGGAGGGCCGGAATCACTTATGGGGATAAACACCTTTCGTGTGCTTTACCCCACTCCCAAACGGGTCCTTATTCAACTATGTTTGTGTCTATGATTGTTTTGTGCATTACTTTGCCAGATTTTGTTACAAGGAAGCGGCAATTTTTCATTGAGATATATAAGATTGGAGGTGATTTTCATTCTCCCGTTTTAGCTTTTCACACACATCTCTGTATATTTTGTCATCGTATTGAATAAATCAAACAGAATTTTTGACAAAAAAAATAAAAAATTCAAACGAAATCAACAGACTAAATCGAGGCATATACGAAGCTGAAAATGGTGGGCGTTTGTCATTTCCTTCTATATTGAAATCAATTCCCGTTACCATAAATTCATTAAACTTTGATATTCCACATATAGCTTTCAACTAAGTTCCAGTGTTCCTTAGCTATGGATACCACAAGGACTTGGAAGCAATATCTTAAGCACTAGATGGATGGTATTGTTATGTGTTTGATGCTTTAACCCCCTATTGCAAAATTTGGAAAACTTGGATGTTGAGAAGAGTGCTTTCTTTTTTTCACAAACAATTTTGTGAGGATTATGAAGTATAGTTGATAGTTTACAAGATGAATCTTTACATGAATTACTCAGTAGGTTTACATGAATTACCTCGCAGAAGATGCAATAGCTCCTGAAAAGCCCATGATTTTGAACCACGGGACCAAATTGATCATGCCATCCGCAATGTGCCAAACTGCGAACACTTGTTCTTCTCAGTTATGGCCCGATCATCAAAAGAATGCGGTTCAGTGTGCCAAAAGCTCGTGGTTCTTTACGTGGCTCATAATCTCTTCCCGCAATTTGTAGATGCCTTTGCTTCTTTTATGTGATTTGTCACCCTCTTTGAATTCATGAACAATACCATCTGTTTGGGATAAAATCTGAACTTTGGGCCAGAGAGAAAGTCGGCCCAAACCCAAGGCCCAGAGGAAAACTTAGGAGGCAGGAAAGAGGCTTTCGGCTGGGCACAAGTTACAAAGGCCACCTGCTTACCTGCTCAAAGACCACAGGGGGTAGGCTATTCAGTCACTACACAGCCCAATAAAGTACTTTATTGGTGGCATTCATGTAAAAAAGTTAGTGAGTCATCACCAAACCGCATTCGGGCACCGCTATTGCTACAGGAACCCAAGCTGAAGTCGTCTATAAAAGGAGGAAGAGAAGACAGAATTAGAGACACTCAAACACAAACAAACAAAAGCCAAAACTCTGCTCAAGCCAGATTTGCCTTCAACGAAGCTGTAGTCAGCACAAGCCTTCATCCCATTCGGGATAAACCTTCCCAAACCCCTGTAATAGCTCTGCTACCTTGTTCATGGTGGTATCGATTCATTTTGTATCCTCTTCTCCCCCGTCAACCCCTCTAAAAGCTTTCAGACCTCTGACAGAGCCACAAAGATAGATTTTGTAAGAAGTTCAGCCTTGGCCGATAAGGTTCAAACTTACCCGACTATCTTTGCTCTGTCTTTGTCTTTTCTTTCTTTTAAAAGCACAATAACATGTTATATATTTCCCAATTATATACAAGTTATTTCTAGCAAAGTCATAATGAAAATGAGTCTTCAGCACTTGAATCCGATCTGAATCGCGTCAGAGTTCAAATCAGATCTAAGTCTTAAGCCCGGCGGGCATGTAATTTAAAGATCAGTTTAAAAGTCCTTGGCCTCAAGGCATAAAAAAAGAACTCTATGTGGACTCAACCCATCCACGACAATCCTTGATAAGCGAGAAGTCCGAAGTTACTTGGGGCGCAAGTAATCAATCTATTTCTCCGTTTTGTTGCTATTATATCTTGATTCGTAGAAAAGGCTTAAGCATGGAGTGAATTCTGATAGAAAGCCTCAAGGCCTACACCTAAGGCCCCACGAAGGCATCTATTTAGCTTCATTTCATGTTGCGGTCTAGTTGGTCCGAGTATAAGGATTAACTCTGATGGGAAGCCTCAAGGCCTATACCTAAGGCCCTACAAAGGCACTCATTTGGGTTCGTCCTACCTCTTGGATTCAGATAATCAAAGGTATAATAGTGATAAGACTCTGGCAACCATAAAAGACCAAATATGATACATCCAAGCGCTGGTTTAGTTTGACAGGAAGCCTCAAGGCCTATACCTAAGGCCCCACAAAGGCACCTGTTATATCTAACTTGGTTTCTCGGGCGTATACATATTCAATCAAAGCTTAACACCCATTCAACATCTGCCATACTGAAGATGGCAGTGGCACGCCTGAGCACGACAAAGTTAATCTTGATTGTGAGCCTTAAGGCCTACACCTAAGGCCCCACAAAGGCACCTTTTCAAATTAACTATGTCCTTCTCTTTCAGAACTGCCCGACGAGCCTTGCCCGAAGTGTGTCTTGCCCGACCAAGATCTGCCCGACAAAGGCTTGCCCGAGCGAGCCCGAGAAGAAAGCAGAAGTACGACAGATACCCTCAACCGACGCCATTCTCCCAGGGGAGCTGTGTGCTCGTCCGCCAGGAGATTCCTGCGACGAACACCATCAAGCTCGATTGAACTACACCCGGGAGTTTTCTTCACGTTCTTTCCCTTCATCGCCTATCTCAACTTCACTGCATCCCTCCATCTATTTGCGGAGGAATGAATATTTGACATGAGCACATATGCGCCATCTCTCTCGGGCTCTACCTTCAGTAGTTCCTTCATCACACTTTCAGCAAGCTCTACTTTTCCATGGATCCTACAGGCCCCAAAAGGGCGCCCCAAACAAAGGCATCAGGCTCAGTTGGCATGTTTTCAACAAACTCCTCTGCCTCGTTCATTAACCCGGCACGGCCTAATAGGTCAACTGTGCAGCCATAATGCTCCGTCTGAGGTCTGAGCTTGTACACACTTGACATCTCCCTAAAATACCTCTGCTCCTCTGCGACAAGTCCTCCATGACTACATGCTGCAAGGACTCCAATATATGTCACCTCATCTGGTTCAAGACACCTTTTTTGCATCTCTCGGAACACGTCCAACGCCTCCTTAAATTTCCCTTGATGTGCCAAACCCGATATCATCGAATTCCACAAAACCACATTTCTCACAGGCATCGCATTGAAAACTTTACTTGCAAAGTCGGCATCCCCACACTTCAAGTACCTATCGACCAACGCATTGCCTATAAAAACATCTCAGCATACCCCATTTTCATAAATGCATCCACTGATCTTCCTACTTAAGCTCAAGTCTCCCAGTTTAGAGCAAGCAGAGAGAACGATGACTGACATCGTCTCATCTGCCCTTGTTTCAGCATCACACATATCGAAAAACACTTCAACGTCTTCTCTTGGAAACCCCATTTTAACATAACCTTGAGCAAGCGTAGTCCACGAAACCAAGTCTCTCTGAGGACTTTCATCAAACACCATGCGGACCCATTTCATAACCCCACAAACATCATAACCCCTCATAAGAGTGTTATCACGTACGCATTGCACAAAACTAGCCCGGTCTTGATAGCGCAGGTGTGAATCTGCTACCCCTCTCTCAGTGCACGCGACTGAGCGCATACATTGAATACGGAGGGGTATATAATTTTACGGATTTGGTATATTGGCGTCCAAAGAGCAAATATACCCATCAATTGGTGATAGTACTAAGTACTATATACATCGTTCCACTAAGATAAATATTTTACTTTCCATTAAATTGTCCATGGAAGAGTTTTGGACCAACAAAACATTCAGTTTCATTCATGATTTGGTCGGACGGTTTCATTTATATTTCGCAACTATAGATTCACAACCATGGTAGATCAATGCCATTTATAAAAAGACAATAATGCCCTTTTTGGGCAAAAACCATAAAAGTTAGCATAGTTGAGAATTTTCATGCGACGGGAATGACAATGTGATGGTATTTCAAGTCAATTACAAACGTTGTATCCAAAAATTAACTTGAAATACATTTACAACGGTTGAGTTTCTCTCCTATCTTACACAACGTACACAATTATAGTAACCATATAATACAATCAAGCACCATTATACAATTTCCTTTGATGCTACATATCCTCCACCCAAATTTGTACACACTACTTATCCGATTAAACACAAAGCAGTTCACCCTTTTCATGATTCATTCCGGCAATGTGCAATCAAAGTACTTGGCAAAACATCATCTCTCAAACTAGTTTTACCCACATGTAACGCAGTAACGTCACAATGCAAACTTTTCCCCGCGGAGAGGCCATGGGACGTCCAAAATCAAGACGATAAACACACATACTATATCAATTTCTAGCAAGACATCAGAAAAACACAAAAACAATGCACATCTTACTAATCAAAATTCAAATCTATTGATAACTAAATTCCCCGACAAGACATTCACAGGGGAGGGGGAGGGGGAGGGGAAGGAGCATAAAAAGGGAATTACTAAAAGTTTACTAAACGATGAGACAAGGATTAACAAATTCAGGAGTTGTAAGCGACTAGCTACCATACCTCCCTCGCTATACGTCCCAACCATCCTTCCGCCCATTGAATTTCCACTTGCGCCTGGCCAAACTTCCGTACATCTCAGAAAATTTCAGGAGGCAGTTGCTCCTTATATGGTAGTGAACTTTGGTATTTCGGCTTATTGCAGCACCAGATAATTTTGATGTATCTATTGCCCATGCTGGCCTCACATACTCCACATTCTTGGATTCACTAGCATTTGCATACAAGTAATTCAGCAGCACGTCCTCGCAGTTGAAATATTTGTCCACCAATTCCCTTGCTTGGCTAGCTTCTTTTCCCCAATACCTCTTGAAAGCTACTTGACCATCGATGAAAGCTGCCCCCGTGAGAATCATGTTATATCCTTTATGGGTCCGGGCATATTTCTCACCTCGATACTTCAACGGGCTCCCATCAATTAATCGGGGGTAGAAACCCACAATACGGTCTGGGTGTTGACGCCATATTCTGAATCCCCGCTCAACATCATTGCAAGTCATCATAATGTCGTCATCAAGCTCCAGAACTGCTCGGGTCTTTATCAAAGAATCCAACTTGAACCGATTATTCAGTGAGTTTTGTTTCTCTAATCTGATCCTAACTGGCACTGTGGAGTCAAAATCTCTAACTTTAGGTGGTATTCCTTTGTTCCACACCACAACAATTTCTCGCACCGAGGAACATCTGGAATAATGTTTAACATACATTTTCAAATTCCAGAGACGAGCATCATAGGTCATTGTTAATAAGGTGAACTGCGAGTAGTGACCTTTCCATTGGTAAGCTTCTTCTGCACCGCTACCACCATAGATACATTTAACCCCTGTGCACATAGCCGCAACTCCAAATGCCAAAATTATAGCAAGAACCAGTCTTCCAGCACAGGTACTAGGTTTAATCCTACCTCTGAGGAATGAAACTCCTCTGTTCAAGCGGCTGCAAAACCGTCTCACTTTGGCTGAAAACAAATGTGACCCTTCCCAGGCCAAGAACGCATCACTCCGCTTCCCGGAGTTGTGAGTGTACCAATTGAGAGGAATCATGCACTTCACAGCTCCAAGTAGTACACCCAGCAATATAATGAGTACAGCAACAACGGCAACTGAAGCACTACCAAAAATAAACCTCCGAACTGAATCCCCAGATGGTACCCGGTCTCCATCCATCACTCCAACCCACTCACCAGTATTTATTTGCTGCACATCTAGATGATGATGGCGAGCACCATTCCATGCATTGCGACCCTTACTTGGCTCCATCAAGCCCAAGGGAACTTCAACTTCTTTGTAATCATCTTTGGTAAGAACTTCCACCTTAAAGGTGCGCACTCTTCTCCCATATGTTTCACCACAGTCTTGACCAACACGATAAAGATTCCGTTGTAGAAAAATGGTCTGCCTCCATTTCGAGCCCCAAAGCTCTTGTCGCCATTATATATAGGATTCTTCTTGTGTGGTTTCCAAGGACCAAGAGGGGAGCTGCTATACCAGATTTCCAATTGTCCATTCTTTGTGGTGACAAATCCAGTGTTATCTGAACTAAACAACCAATACGCTCCATTATAATTGATTATGAAAGAATCAACAAGAGGCTTTTTCATGATCACTTTCTCCAGAGTCCATTGCAATGGAAAATTGAGTGCTCGGTACAGACGAAGTTCCCCTTTCATACTACTCTCAGGCATCATATATATCTGTAAGAAACAATAAGAAAGAAGTTATACAACAGATATCAAATTTACCCCAGAAAATTAGGTGATAGGTGCTTTTTTTTTTCTGCAGGCGATAGGTTTTTTTTTTTTTTTCCTGCAATCAATGTGTTCCGTTAAGCTGCAACTTGGCCAAGATGTGTCGAACAATTGTTTAGAAATAATTTGTTACAGTTATTTACTTTCATTCACGCTGGTGATGGGATCTATTGGGCCAGTGTGGACGTAAAAAGAAATGCATTCTTACTTGGCCAAGGTAGTTAAAGACATATGGGTAAGAGAGATGCCACTCTTCATCCAAGGCAGTGCCCAATTGCTGCCATGTTGCTCCCTTATCAATACTTTTTGAGACTCCAATATCCCCTTGCAAAGTGATTGAATTTTTGGTTTCGTAGAACAGGTAAAAAGTATCTCCCTGAAACAAGAAGCAGAGATGTTGAGTAGAATGAACCAAGTAATTCTAAAAACACTGCTAACAGTCCCAAAAGGTCCATGAGCTGGGAGAATCATAGTACAGCTGAATTTAAAAAATAAATGGTCGTACCCAGTACACAAGGCTCCCGCTTTACGCAGGGTCTGGGAGAGGTGAATGTCGGCTAGCCTTACCCCCATTTATGGAGAGGCTGCTCCCAAGTCTCGAACCCGAGACCTACCGCTCATGGGCGAAGGCACTTGCCATCGCACCAGTGCGACCTCTTAAATTTAAAAAATATAAAATATAAAATATAAGGGATCAAACACAAACTAATTACAATGACAAAATATACTTGACAACTTATATTGGCTGTCCCTTTCAGGGCAACTACATTCTAAGTAGACAACAATATCATGACAATTTTAGTAAGTGGTGGTCCCGGGCAAAGCACTGTCGGAATACAAACAGGGTCTTATATTTGTCAAGTTACTGGAATACCTATATCCAATATGATCAGCACCCAGTAAAGTCAGGTGATACCAATATCAAAACAATCTATTAATAAAATGACAAAAGGCAAGTCTTTTTCGCCACAAGAACGATACAGCGAAGAAAAGGAACCCCATGTTAGCAAGAAAGAGGGACTCTCTCGCTACCATTTGGATCCATTTCAAAATCATGTTTTGCTAGAGAAAGAGGAATCAACCAAACACACCCATGAACAACCACATCAACCACACCATCATGCACTTAATGTCCACCACATACCTCTCCTTACTACAAATTGGCTACATGACACCCACAGATTGATCACAGAGATGACAAAGAATATCGGTGCTTTCAGAAGATTGAATCTGACAAGAATTATCATTCTGCATCAAGTGTGTATGAGTTAGGAAGACAAATGTTAACCTAACACTAGCTAGCATCCAACAATGGGGCGTTTGACCAAAAGCAGTAGTATGTTCAATAAAATAGCAACTCAAGACAAGGATACATCTCAAAATCTCTATTTCTCAATTTTTTCATGTTATAGCATTCTACACAAAAGGCGTAATCAGAGAAGTATCAGTTTCCCAAAAAATCATTACCATATAGGATAAACTTCCAAGGCTCCTCCTATCATAAGGGCCACAAAAACTTAAGGTCATCATTAGGCTTTTGAAGCAAATAGGATAAACTTCAAACACAAAACACAGAAACTTCTAGTATAGAGAATAACTACAGAAAATTTATGGCATCCATTATGGTTAATGTCTGAAGTGAAAATACTCATAAGAATTAGATTATTGTAAGGTAAACAAAATCAATTGAAAATGATAAGGCACTAGATCGAAACATTCACTAGTTCACCGTCATCATCATGTCCATGCTTTCCATATTCATATAAGTTACCTACTGAAGCATTAATACAGGATCATTTTCTCAACCAAGAACCAATAAAAATATTTTTCAATTACTATCAGCCACACAGTGTAATGCTCCAGAACTCCCTAATTCCATATTGACAAACAAAATTAGAAGGCCTACAATCAACTTTCATCAGAACAGTGAGGTAAGGCATAACTCAAAATAATCTGGATTGCCACTGTCACAATCATGGGCTTCAGAGATGTTAATGCAAAATACTCAAATGAATGCACAACCTAACAATTCAAACTCTATCAACATCACTAATGTCTTTACAAAACGATATCATCTGCTCGCTTAAACTTGTTATAACTGTTGCTACAAACAAGAGAAGAAAAAGTATTGTTGAAACCTTACAACTTAAGTGTACCAAATCCCGATTCCAGCCCTCTAAATCTGACCCAAGGAAAATTGATTATAATTTGTACCCTACCA